ATGTTGTGCAGTGCCCACAGATGTCAGAAGAGGACATTGGAGCCCCTGGAAGTGGAGTTAGGTATAGTTGTTAACTGCCATGTGAGTGCTGGGCATTGAACGGAGGTCCTCTGCAAGAGCAGTCAGTGCTCTTAAGAGCTGATCTGTCTCTCCAGCCCCACAACATTAAGTATTACACTAGCTATAGAATCTTTGTAGATTGCTTAGGGTCACTACTATGAACAGATACTGGATTTTTGTCAAATGCTTTTTTTTTGTCTAATACCTTATATCCAAAACACATCAAAACTGCTAAAACCCAATTTAAAACAAGAAAAAGAATGTTTTGAGCAGATACTTCATTGAAAGAAGAGGATATATGAAGGGTAAAACATGAAGTGATTATCCTCATTAATTATTAGGAGATCAAAATTAAAATAATAATAATAATGGTATTCACACACATGCACTCAAATGACTAACAGTAAAAACGACTGACAAGTGTTTTCTCCAATTTGGAAGAATCAAATTCAAACTCACAAGTGGTAGGGATCTAAACTGGTTTAATTACTTAAAAAATCTGTATAGAAGCTTCTTGTAAAATTTATATAACTATTTTATTATCTAAAAATTAGACTACTAGGTATTATCCAAGAGAAAAGAATACAGTTATTCACAAAAAGAATTATCTAGGAATGTTTCTAAGGACTGGCGAGGGTGGCTCAGGGGTTAAGAGTACTTGCTGTTTTTGCAAAGAATCTGGGTTCAGTTTCCAGCATCCACATGTTGATTTACAACAGCCCATAACTTCAATTCCAGATAATCCAACTCCCTCTTCTGGTCTCTGTGGGCCCTGCACACGTGTTACACTGACATACATGTAGGAAAACACTCATGCACATAACATTTTTTTTAAATAAAAAAGTCCCCCCCCCAAATTATGTTTTAAAAATATATTTAAAATATCCTAAAAGTAAAATCGGTAAATTTTTATTTTGAATGGATAAACAAATTTATATCATATTTATAAAACAGAATATTCTTTGCCAGTTACAAGAAACCACTTAATAGCATGCACAATAACATGAATAAAACTTGGAAACATGGCACTGAAAGTTGTCACACACAGACCTCCCTCCACTACCACAACCTGTGGACTTTATACAATATAAAGAAAATTGGTAAACTAATATTTGTTGTTAGAAACTAGATGGTGTTTGCTTCTGGTGGTGGTTGGGTAGAGATGATGGCTGGGAACTTACACAGGGACCTTTTGGAGTGTGGGCTGTGTTCTGCATTTTAGCAGAATGAGTGTCATGGTATACACATTTATTTCAATTCAACAAATGGCTAATAAGATCTGTATATTTTTTCTTTAATACAAATCAGGCACCAATGTGGAGAAAGGGAAATAAAGGAAAATAAATAGCATAAATGATACAATCTGCTTTTTAATCCTTCAGTGGTAAGTACTAAAGATAGGGGTTTGTGTACACTAGGCAAGAACTCTACCACTGAGCTATATCCCCAGGTCAGATAAAACAAAACTTCATGTATAGGAAACAGTATTGGTTTTTGGTGCGCCTACTATTGTTACAACTTTTGTGATGATCATGTTACTAACTTTACATATTCCCTTTGGACACCTTGCTCTCATTGCTGGAAAACTTGCCAGAACTGACAAGTTAGACATCAGCATATACAATCATTTCATCCATGCAACAATAGATTTCTGAGACTGTGTTACTTCCGGCTTTAGAAAATGATACCCTTTGCCCTATCACTACAATTTTGGTTTCCACCATCAAAACAAAGCCTGGTTCTCAGAGCTGCTCTACCAGCTTCCCAACAGTATTTCTGATTTTATCCTAATGAAAGCTCCTTAATGAGCACAGATTAGGTTCCCTTATTAATATCACTGAGATGGATTTCATCGTGTTTTAATACCTGCTGAAAGGAATTTGGCACGTTTACTTTTTTCTTATAAATGCCTGCTATTCCTGATAGAGCTAAGTTGGAATTCAAATCACAAATTGGCTTTCTCTTTTTTTTTTTTCTTCTAAATAAGAACTTTGTGGAGAGTTTGCACAATTTATTTCTATATACATGCAGCATTGTGCTAGGTGCTTGAAAACTGAAGCATGAGGAAGACCTGGTCTCTAGTCTCACAATGCTTATCTTGAGTTGCATCAGTTAATAAGAGGCTACAAACTAGATGGTGTTATGCTGACCTTACAGTTGTCTGAACAAAGGTCCCTAGAAAGAGAGTGGAAGAAGAGATTTGACTTTCCCAAGAAGATAGGAGGGTCATAGAAGGCTCTACCAAAAAAACTAAGAGTATATATGAAAATAAGTAGTGATTGATCACTAAGTTCATCCACGATTGAGCCACCCTGCCATGCTCTTACCTGATGGATGCTGTTTCAGACACAGGCACGTGGAATGTGATCTGTATCCTCAAGAAACTTACTACATTTTATCCAGGTCAAGAAATCATGACAGTTGCTGATATGTCCACCTCATTTTATTCTTTTGGCTTCTTTCCCTCTAAACTGGAGTCATAAAATGAGACTTTAAGGTTTGTCTTAGTTACTGTTTGACTGCTGTGATAAAATACCCCGACCAAAGCAACCGAAGGGAGAAAGGATTGGCTTTCACTTATAATACCAGAGGGATAGCACCAGAGGGGTAACGATTTCCCTTCCAAGGCACTTAGGGTCTTGCCCTCTACTCCTGCTCTCATCTCCAACACTGAGTAGTGAAGACATTTATTGCTGTGCTTTTGAGGTTGCAAAATTTACTGTTCAAATATTGGACAATTCAATTTCTATCATGTTTCCCAAACAAATTTTCTCATTGCTATTTTTATTTCTCACACTCAAAGAATGCCAAGTACAAGCATTAAGTTTACCAATCCCTTGAAGAATAACTTGGCCAAATTCTTTCCTTAACCAAGGTCTCATAGCTTCAATGTTTTCCCATTATCAAACTCTGCATTATAATTTGTTTCCCCACAGTTATACTCAAATATATATTCTCAGTATATACTCTAATATAATCTAATCTGATTTGTGAAGGGGTCGGATGAAGGAGAATAGCAATCCTGCTTTCCAAATAAAACTTGGATACTTTTGATAGGCCTTTCTTGAAAGTCTACACTTCTTCTCATCTTCCCCCACAGCATGAGACATCGTTAGGTGTCCTAGTAACGCCCCCCCACACCCTATTCAGGAGGACCAGTATGGAAGCCAGATGTAATGTGGATCCAGAGCACTCTGAGTTACTAATTGAGATATCAACCTAGTGCAATACCCTCCTATTGTTTCAGTCACACCAGTTTGCACCAGAAAATCCAGGGTCTATTACTAGACCATCTGCTTTTTTCTCAACTTAGCTTTGAGAAATGAATCACAAATCTTTTTTTTTTTTTAATAATTGATAATATGAAAATTACACTGATGACTTTGCTGAAGGCTGGGCTTCCCAAAATAAAGTCCAAATCTAGATCCAAACTATTAGAAAATCAATTTCCATTTCTGTCACTGGCACAGATGTCCCCTTCCTTAGCCATCTTTCATCTGACTATGGAGTAGAGAAAAGAGAGTGAGCATCTTTTAAAGATGAAAAACATCATAGGGGAATGCAGCTACTCACATTCCAGATCACACGCCAAATACCAACCTCATAGATGGTCATAAACTATAATGCCAGAAGTAATTTCCGTGAGATACTTATATTCAATGAGTATAATGTCATTTGTGAAATTTTAGTTATAAACAACCTTAAGATATTGGTAGTCATTGATAAAGGCAAGAATGCTCTCTGCATAATGCAGACTCAGTCTATGATAATATGATTAGTTACACTAATAATGCTGCTTAGGCACTGTCTCCTAATTACAATATTATAAATATTAATGCCCCAGCCTTTCTGTTTGATTGCCACTCATGGAACTATTCATCATTATATTTTCTTGGAACCTATATTACACAGTTTTATTTCTTCCTTCTTTGCTTTCTCATTATTGGCCTTGCAACCACACACATTATTTTCCAAGAAATCTTCATTTTTTCATTATCTGTTAGGATAGAGACTGTGATGTTTCTTACAAACACTGCCCAGTTATGTGGTGTCTCCCTCACTTTTGCTAAGTCTTTCCCTATCATCCCAGGCAGTGTATCCAGGGTTTTTGTTTTCTATTCTTTTTCATGTGACCTGTTTCAAGTTAAGACTCATTTGAATTATTAAATGCTTCCTTAAAGAATCTTTTCATACCGCCTCTTTCTTTTTTTTAAAGTTAATTATTGATGTAGTGACAAGCTGAAAAGACTAAGAATTATAATTTATTTCCTCCTCTCGTTCAGGACTCAAGAAATGTCTTCTGACAATGGCTGTCTATTTAGAATAATACAAAGGAAACACAAAGGCGAAATGCTGAAAGTTGTTTTAGAAAAGAATTGCTAAAATCACTGTATTAGACAAAATGTAAATGTAGTGTATATTTCTCAGAAAATAGCAGTTAGAGAGAAAGTGGGGATATAACCTTTGGAGCCCAGGTTTAACCACACAGCAGAAGCAGTTACAAAAGATACTGATTAGATTTTAATTTTAAAAAAACTTCATCATATTATTCAGGACTCCAGCGATTTGATTGTCTAGAAAAGGGAAAGGTAATGTTATAATTTCCAGAGCTTGTTAAAGAATAAAGAAATCCCCAGCTTCCCACTAGAAAGAATGCCACTCATCACCACAGTCAGCGAGAATTCAGAGGCATTTCTTACTACAAGCTTCAATCTTTTTCTTTTTTATGACCTTGTGTTATATTGGTTTTATAAAAGGTAACTTGTAGACCTATCATAGAGCTGTAATCAAGTCTGCTTCAGAATGATTTACTGTAAAAGTCCAGTCCAGCAGGCACGGCCTTAGCTACCTTAGGGAGTATGGAAATGCAAACAACCTAAAAGAGTAAACAGACTCCTCCAGAGCTCTCCAGGGTCAACATAGGAGGATCCAGCACATACCTTTCCGGTGAGCTCAGCAATCTGTGGAACTGGCTTCCCTTTCTGGTGACTCACAGTGGCTGGACTCTGCCCATCCCAGTCCTCTAACTCCTCGATGCTCTTCAAATAAAGTAGGGCTTTGAGACCAGTGCAGTAGTCTTCGATCACAGTGAAGTCCTGATTCTGAATAGCGCTGCACACCTAGGGAAGATGGGAGAGCCAGAACGGCATTAAATATTATCTTCAGACAGATATAATTTTCATTCATTCAACACACATTTATGTTCCAAACAATATTGTAAGCATAGCAGATCAGTTGATACATGAGGCTGGGGGTGGGAACCAGGGAGTGAGAGTCATAAAGAGAGGTAGAGGACCCTCCAGAGATGTTGAATGATTCTGTAAACTTGACGTCTTGCAGGTATAAATGCATTTCAAAGCATAGGAAATTATACATTATAAACTTACACAGTTAACTGTATGTCAGATATACCTAAGTACAGGTGTTACATAATAAATCTGAATGGCTGAATTTTCAAGGCATCAGATTTAGTACAACCATAATTAATAATAATAATAATAATAATAATAATAATAATAATGTGCTTTAACTCTCTTATTTTTCCTTTGTTAAGTTTATGGCTACAAGCAGTTTTCAAACTCAGATCTGGTAAACTTATGTGGGAGCTACATTCATCCCCTTTCCAAACCTGCCCCTGTACACATCTTCACTGTCTATTGCTGTTCTCTTTTTGATTCACTATGTTACAGTCACCAATTCTTTTCCTCTGTTTCTCAAACCTACTACTTTTAATTTTTTGTTGTTGTTGTTGCTTCAGGCCCACAGGTGTGTCCAACCTTTTGGCATCAAGACAGATGCCATCTACAAAGTTCACACTCCAGAAACCATGCAGTTGAATTACCAAAGACACAAAATAAACAACCCATTAAAAGCAAAGAAAAAGCAAAACAAACAAAAACTAAACACAGAAAGTATTTTCCTCATGTTTTATGTTTGTGTTGGACTTAATTCACAGCTGTCCTTGGCTGCATGTGGGCTATAAGATAGATATATATCTCTTAGCTGTCACTTTTTCAGGGCGGTTCTAGGAGCTCAGAGAAAGTTGGTCCTTCTTTTACATGTAGTTGATTTTGACTCATCTTTAATGCAGGATTACATAGTTGGCCATCCAGTTCCCAATGACACTGAGACACGAGGAGGGAAGAATTGTATTTACTTTGTTACTATGTTATCTCCAATGACTACCACAGAATTTGTCATTTCTTATGTGTTTAATAAATATATAATGAATGAGTGATGATAAAGAAAACTTACAAGTGACCATATATGTCAGAAAATACAAATGAAAAGAACCCACATTTCAGGAAGATTGAACCAGAGAGATTTGGATCTTTCAAAATATGTACTTGGAATTTTGTGATTGCGGTTGTAATCTGTCATTAAAATTTTAAATTATATTTGTGTGTGTGTGTGTGTGTGTGAGAGAGAGAGAGAGAGAGAGAGAGAGAGAGAGAGAAAGTATGAAGGTCAGAAGACAACTTTCAAGGGTTGGTTTTCCTCCTTCCACCATATGGGTCTGGGGGATTGAAGTCTGATTGTCAGGCTTGGTAGCAAGTGCCTTTACCCACTGAGCCATCTCTCTGGCCTATGGTTGAGATCTGAAATAGAATTTAAATGTAGAATTAGATAAACATTTATAACTAGATTATTTCCAGTTATTGCTTTAATTTGATACCACCTGAAGACTAAGAGATACATTTACAATCTCCAATAGGACCCTTTACTCATATAGCCCAGTATCATTCCAAGTTCAGAATTTACAACATGGACATCAACATTCTTCCTATCCTACATCTAAATGAAGCTGGTAAAGTAATTATCCAATAAAACTAAGAAAATTATAACTCAGTTCTATCTTATTTTCCTGGCTATTGAATAGTTAGTACAGTTGTGCTATATGTACAGGGGTCTGATTCCAGGACCCCCATGCCTCCAAATTTCCAAAGTCTACAGATGCTCAGCTCACTCACACAAAATGGGTAGTATCTGTTCATTCTGCATCATGCTTTAAATCCACTCCATTCTATACCCCAATACAACATGAATGCTATATAAATTGTTCTTGAGCTGTTTTATTTGGATAAAAATGATAAGAAAAATAGTCTGTACATGTTCAGTACAGATTAATTCTCTGCAAATATTTTCAATCTATGATCACTTGAAACAAAACAATGTATGTGAAACCAAAACCATGAAGAGTGGCTACTAGATGTCAAGGTGTCTGGACATGGTACCCAGAGAGAATGATGTCCAGAGAAAAATTATTCTGATTATGAATGAAAATGAAGGTAATTCCCCCATATAGGAGAATAAATTAAAAAAAAATCTATTTCTAGGTCTCCTAAAAGCTTTAAGGTCATAAATTAAATAAATTTTACTATAATATATATGTTTAGCAATGCCACTTAATACCGAGAATTATTGGTAGATTGGCTGAGACAATTTATTAAATATATTAAGAGGATCCAGAATGGGGAACAAGGAGGAGGGGAGGAGGAGACTGAGACAATAGACAAAGAGGGAAGAGGAGGGGGAGGAGGGGGAGGGGGGGAACGGGAGGAGGGTGAGGAGGAGGAAGAGGAGGAAAGGAAAAACACAAACTTGGGCATTCTCAGCTAGAAGTACAGTGATGGTATGATGTGTGTATAAAAGAGACTTGTGGGAGCTACTGCACATAGAAGGAAAAGAAAGTAGATCATGCAGGGCACTGAGAAGGCATACCAGGGTTAAGTCAAGTGCTGTAGAACTGAGTAAACAACTCAGCAAAGTTAAAGCTGAAAAACTATCCCTAGATTTAGCAATCAAAATAACACACTTGATCTTTATGGTTTATGGGTGCAATGTTCTTCCACAGGACAAAATAGTTTGTTAGTTGATTTCTGAGGCTAAGGAAGGGATGAGAGATGAGAACTGAAGGAACAGGGGACATACTGCTCTTAAAGGAAGTTTTGTTCACGTAAGAGCAAAAAGAGAACTCAGAATATAGTTTGCAGTGATTTTATTTTATTTTTAAGCCAAGTTTTATAAGGACATAGTAATTTTGCATAGCATAGTAGGACAGAATGACTTGTATGTAGTAAATTTGATCAAAATTGTCTAAAGGATTATAAGAATAATGAACTATCTAATGAGTTCTCATGGTTTGATTTTCTGAACAAGACTTTTAATCCACTATTTCAATTATTCTTCAATTTAACCCTAAAAGTTAGACTTAATTTTTAACCATATTTTTGTAGATAAACCAAGTCTTAGAAAAACCAAATGATGGACTCTAGGTCACATGTAGAGTCGGGAATCATGCAGGATTCATGACCAACCGGGACTCAGGATCACATAAGACTCATGATCACACAGGAATCAGGATGACACAGGACTCGTGAACACATAGGACTCATGACCACACAGGACTCATGACCACATGAGACTCAGGACCACACAAGACTCATGATTACACAGGACTCAGGATGATTCATGGGACTCATGATCACAAGGGACTCATGACCATGTAGGACTCATGCTGACAAGGAACTTACTACCACACAGGCCTCAAGACCACACAAGACTCATGACCACACAGTACTCATGATCACATGAAACTCATGATTACATATGACTCATGCTGACATGGGACTCATGACCACATAGGACTCATGACCACACAGGACTCAGGACTACACAAGACTCATGACCACATGGGACTCATGATGACATGCAACTCATGACCACCCAGGACTCATGATTACACAAGACTCGTGATCACACAGGACTCAAGAGGACACAGGACTTATGACCACACGGGACTCATGATTATAGAGAACTCATGGTTACACAGGACTCGTGAACACATGATCCTATGACCACACAGGACTCATGATCACATAGAACTTGTGGCCACAGAGAACTCATGACCATCAGTCTAGTGTGAGCTAGACATAAATAACAACAAAGGGAAATCGTTTTATTGTAATTGAAATCATTCTTCCTTCAACTGTGTCATGAATAAAATGCACTTGGAAAAATTTAAGTTATCTTCAGTCCCAATGTAGCTAACTTAAAATCCATGCTGCTAGATTAAAATTTGACAATCTTTCCCTTTATCTTCAGTTTGTATAGTAAGAGTAAAAACAAAACAAACAAAAACCAGAATTCTGAAATAAGATTTCTTAATTTTCTACCTTGAAATAAGGTGGGAAAATAGCTTGTAGAGGTTACTATATACAAACCAGAACACTTTCTTTGAGGTCATTTATATTATAGAGACAATCTATTTCCCAGGAGGAGCAATTTGATTAATTAGGCCTGTTATAGCTATCTTCAGTGATGAGGGTTTTTAAAGAACAATTATAAGAACATCATTGTAGTTTCCTCCACGAGTTTCTTTGGTAACATTTTTGTGCTGCAGAAGTCAACTGATTTCTTTAATCTTCTTTGTTCGTGCTAAGATTCTATTTTTATAATACATGCTTTCACTATAGTTTTAAAATATCTCAGTATAGAGAATCATAAATCTGATTTTTTTAAAAAATCACATCATGTCATGTACTCCATCGGATGCTTATGCTAAAAGAAATAGAGAACTTTTAAAGGAAGGAACAGAAAAACTTAATCTTAGCCATTCTAGATTTTCCCAGTGAGAAAATACAAAAGCTATTAATTCTTTGAACCCAGAGACATTGCACTGGTTGTATCTGGCAGGCTCAGCCAAGATGTGTTCTAATTACAATATAGACTTGGTGTCTTTGAAGTATGGAAGAACACAATGGGACCTAACTCTTAAGAGGTCTCTCTTGTTCCCACTTCTAACTTTTCATCCTACAGTGCTAGTGTTCTGTATAATTGAGAGCTATGCCAAGTATGAAAACCAGAGCTGAAGCTGGAAGAGGGAAGGAGAGTTCATGCTAGCAGCTACACATGTAAGGTGGGAACTGCTGGCAGGCCTAAAGTCTGTCTCTAGACAAGGACTCTGGAGGGGACCACTGTTGATACACTTGCATCTAGAACGACATTGACACAATGTGTCTACCTTTCCAAAATGAATTATTTAATTTCTACTTTCCAATAAGACTGAACCTTCTAATTTTATTGAAGAAATTTCTGATACTGGGAACCTTAGCCCATT